AAATATTATAATTAATTATTTAAAAATTATAAATAAATAAAATATTAATCACGCTTAATAATTTTTTAGTAAGATTAAGATGACAGTACATAGCCTTCACCACAACCAAGCGCAGGGTCGAAGTGCTGTCCTCAGCAAGTTGGTCCATAGAAAATTTAAATGTAAATACATTTCTACTCATAATTAAAAATAAAAAATATATAATTTAAATTTTATTTAATTACAATATATAAAATTTAATGTAAATACATTCCTACTCATTCTCTTACTCCTTCGAAATAATATTAGGGATTCTAACATTTGAAATAATTAATTTCTTGCGCGATAAAAGAAAAAGAAAAGGTAGTGACACATTCCCTTCATTTTTCTCTCTCCCTCATTTTCCTCCCCTCTCATCTTTTCATTTTTTTCAACTCAATCCCCTTTTTTTAATTTTTTTCAATTCAAACATATTTCAAAGGGATAAAAATAAAAAGTTAAAATATTAATAATGGCAGAATTTGTGTGCAATAAAAGAATATTTACCCTTCTACTAAAAACTTTATTGAAATTGTGTGAATTGTATGTTATGTAATTAGATTAAATGTCAATTTTGATCCCTTCATTTTAGAGTTTTATATAATTTTTATGAATTTTTCTAACCTCTATCTTTAGGATATATACAAGTTAAAAATATTTTCTATCATAAATATATATAAAAGAATGTAAAAACTGATATTAATTTTAGAGTTATTATTATTGGATAAATTTAATTGGACACTTGATAAATTAAATGTTAATATTTTTTTTAAGACTATTAACATGTGCCTTAAGCACAAGTGAGAAAAACCTAATTTTTATTTATTAATTATTTTAAATATTTTTTTAATCTCTTAACTTTAAGAAATTTATTTTTTTAATATTTTTGTCAATTAATCTATTAAATTTATTTTTATATATACATTTTTAATATTTAAACTTATAAATTTAAGTATTAAACATGCACATATATTATAAATTTAAAAATTAAAAATTTATATATTTAAACATACTTAATGGATAAATTGATAAAATAACCAAAAAAAATATTTTTTAAAGTTAAGAAATAAAAAAATATTTACAATAATTAATAAATAAAAATTATATAAAATTTTAAAATTAAAAATAAAAATGGACATTTAACCATGTAAATTATTGATAAGAACCCAAGTCAATGTCAATTCTCCTCGAACTCAAATTAAGACAGGGTGGCCCAAAGGAAAAGCGCCTGCACCTACCAAGTAAAACGACCACTACTAATCCATCTAAAAAAAGTCATTCGTGGTTCTTCATGTGATGTATGGAGTGGTACGACTTTATTTTAGAGTGATACCACTTTATTTTCAGGTGGGAATATCATTGAAAGGTTTAAAGTTTTAACTTCCGGTTCTTCGTTCTCCACCACACCTTTAAATATAAAATGCGGTAATAGACAATTATTTTTATTTAAAATCACACTTGACTCGTGGGTTGACTGGCTAGTAACTAATAAGGTGTATTGTTATCAGAATGATATTGATTTAAATTTTTTACCCCTTAAAAATTATATTAATTAAAAAAGTCATTGATCATCATTAGTATTAATTTTAATTTAGAGCTTTATTTAATTGATTTTTCCAACACTTTTTTAATTTTTAAAAAATAATTATTATATTAATAATGTTAATATATATTATTAAGGGACAAAAAAATACCAATCTCAAAACTCAAACTAAATATTACTTAAGTTGTCCTTACTTTAGTTCGCAAGAAAAAGCGTAGCAACTGAAACCATTCAGTGAATCGCTTGTACAACACTTCAGTAACTTAGTGATTTGTACCACGCCTTAAAATATATTTAAAATTTCCTATATCCAACGAAAACGACATGAGCGTGAATCGCGTGATGTGCATTAGCAGAGTCCAGCTTTAGGTAGAAAAGATTTTGCTTTATTAAAGATTTTGCTTTATTAAAGATTTTGCTTTATTTATCAAAATCTTTACTTTAAAATATGCAGAGATTTTGCTTTATCAATTTAAATATCTTTATTTGTAGGGTATTGAATGACTTTGCATGTCGTTATTGCTTTATCTAATTGATTTACCCAACCATCTTAAAATATACACAATAAAGAATAGTGGGGAAAGACCAAGACTTTTCTTTTAGTAAGGACAATTATACATTAGTTATTACATATTATTAATAAAAAAAAAAAAGAAAAACAGAGGAGTTAAGGCTCAGACATAATATACCCAATAGTATTTTTACTTAAAAAACAAAATATGACTATTCCGTGTATCACGTGAAGAACGGAAAGACCAAGACTTTGGGACGCTCACATGCCGATTACAGACAGTAATTAATTTTTTTTTTATAAGGGTAATGATTAAAAAATTAATAAAATTAATTATTAATAATTGATATTTTTTAAAATGGTGAACATTTCACTCCTTAGATAAAGCGCACGTCATTAGGTCACAAATTGATGAAATTCACGGCGATAGTAAAACTCGAAACTTTAACCTCCGTCTCACCTAAACTTTAGGGTTTGGGAGCTAACCATTGGCCTCAGCCCCGTTGGCACAGTAATTACTAATTGATTTACCCAACAATCTGAAAATATACACAATAAAAAGAGGTGGGGAAACGACCAAGACGTTTGACAGGTCACTCACAATAATTAATTTACACAACAATCTGAAAATGTGCACAATAAAAACAGGTGGGGAAACGACCAAGACTTTTGACAGGTCACTCACAATAATTGATTTACACAACAATCTGAAAATGTACACAATAAAAACAGGTGGGGAAACGACCAAGACTTTTGCAGGCCACTCACATGCCAGTTACAATAATTGATTTGCACAACAATCTGAAAATATACACAGTAAAAACAGGTGGCGAAACGACCAAGACTTTTGCAGGTCACTCACATGCCAGTTACAATTGCAGGTCACTCACATGCCAGTTACAAATATTGATTTACACAACAATCTTGAAATGAACAATAAATAAAAAATGGTGGTTAAAGACCAAGACTTTTGGATGGGCGCTCACATGTCAATTTATTTTATTAACTATCAATATTTAAAAATTTTATTAAATTGTGAATTAATTTAAGTTTAATTTTTTATTAAAAAATTTTAATATTTATTTTTTATTTATAAAATTTAAATTTTAAATTTTACTTTAAAAAAATTGAGATTCTCTCACCTAAACTAAAGTTGATTAGTCTGACATGCCAATTATATGCACAATAGCATCGGCACCCAACACCAATTGTACAATCAACAAACAGTCTTATGAGGCACTCCTTTGTATCAAGAAAATTTAAACAGAAACTTTCAAGAGAAAATAATAAAATGTCCTTTTTAAAAAAAACTTTAAATAAAATGCGATAATCTCATATCGTTTATTATCCCCAACTATGAGGGGGATAAAGACGGTAACAAGGGAGAAAGAAGAACCAGGAGAGGAGGGAGATGATGAGTGAATAAGAGGGGGAGGGAAGGCAGTTAGGAAGAGTTATTGATTTTATTTCTAGTATATTTAATGATAATTTATATACAACATAATAATTTTATTCTTTTTTTAATAAACCTCTCTTCACTTAATTTAAAAGTTAAATTTGAGATTCTTAAATTTGAGTCTAAGTCTCTTATTTATTTAAGCATCTCTACCCTATTTAAACTTCAAATTAGAGATATCTAAACTGAAATCTAAACATCTTAACCTGAGTGACTGAGTCAGTGTTTAAAACCTCATACGTGAGATAATATTGGTAGGATCCAACTGTGCTCATCAGCAAGTTGATCCATATCAATGTCGGTTCTCCAAGTACCCACCAATTACAGAAAAATGAATGAGTTGTGGCCCATACCGTTGGCTCAGCTCGACTCTTGTTTTCTTGGACTTCTAATTAATGCTTAGATGAGTGTTACTTATGAACTACCTAAATTTAAGTTAGATTTAACTTAATTTAAGCTCGAACTCAAATTTAAATTTTAAAAATCAAGTCGAGTTGAATTTAAATCAAATTTACAACTTACCTCATCTTGATTTGGCTTAACTTGATTATATTAAAAAATAATTATATATTAAATATTTTTTAAAAAATAGTTTAATTTAAACTTTAAATTATCTTTGAGCATTCAATCAAGCTACTGCTCAAGTTCGTGAGTTGAACTCATAATTCGAGATTGAGTTCCGTATATTCCAAAACATACATTCTTTGTTTTGCTCGCCAGATGGGTAAACTAAAATTCGAAAGACAAAGTGACTTGAACAATGCCCATTTTGCTCGTGCTTTTAACAATATATAAGGTGAAAAACAGGATTCAGTTTAAAATAAGGTTTTTATTCTGCTTAATTTAACAGTTTTTTTTTAAAAAAAATTTAAATTACATAATAAAAGACAATTATCTCATATCTCTTTATTTATTCTTTTTATATGCTTACTACTTGAATTAAAAAATTTTTATTTTATTTTAAAAAAAAATTAATTACCATGAACTGCTTAAATTATTGCCATCTCAATTAACATTTGAATTAGTGACAAGGACATTAGTCTAACAAAAATAATTATAAGAATTTTTCTAATATATGTCTTAAGGGTATAAATTAAAAATATAATTAATACACTT